CATCGTGATCGTAGCGCACTTGGGGTGATGGATCACTGGACTCCGGTGCGTGAAAGATCACGAGATTATAACGCCTCTGGTCGGACGAGGTTGGCCTTGCAGGGCGAAGTATGCTACCAGCCTCAAGTGGTTTGGCTAATTGTTGACTTACAGAACGTAAACGCCCAACGTTCCTTCGTAATTTCGTCCTCTGATCTTTCCACTGGTCTTCAGCACTCAGACTTTCACCTGCTGGGACATCAGTGTCCGGTGGACACAACAAAGGTAAACAATTTAGCCCAGGTGCAACTGGGCTTCCCACAACGGTTGGACTTCGTGTCAGTGAGTTTGCACGGGTAGAGGAGGACGACTGAGCCGAAACCTGAAGGCTCTTCGCGCTAGGTTGTTGGGCCAAACACACGGAGCTGTTCGCAACGAAACGCTGAGGACTACACGTCGGCTTTACTCTTTCTGGCTGTATCTGATTTCGGCAATTTTCACATATAGTTTGGACGAAATCGTGTTGGATCTCGCGAAGGCGATGTAAATGCTCAACTGATAATCCAACACATGAAATATGGTATTTAACTTGGCAAAATGCACACGTGAGGGCATTTGCACGGTATCCGACTAGTTTCGATGTTTCGATGTACCACCACTGCGTTGGATTGGAAAACTGGTGCCCCTCGGATAGTCTGTTCGCAACGAAAGTTTTAAGCCTTTCGGTCGTATTACGAATCAGCAGTAGCACCACCATCGAGTCTGTCCAAAATGGCGGTGATCTCTCTAACTGTAAATCTTGAAGCTTTTGAATGGCTAACCGGATGGCAAGCACCGACGCTGTTAATTCTAATCGTGGTATTGAAACTGCCCTTCTCGGCGAAACAAGCGACTCTCCCATAATGAGGCTAGACCGAATCAGAATTATTCCGGCGGCGACCCCAAAGTAAATGGCCGCTCCGTACCAATCTTCCGAAGCAGCTGATGAACAATGCAGCCGGACATCGTCGTGAGTGAATGGTTTTGGTCGGGTAAACCGGGAAATCATCAATTGTCTACCTGAGAATCCCAACTAAGTCATTTTCGTACGGATGATTGTACGAGTTGCTTAGCGCGCAACAGTACTGACGTTACTAAACCGAATGGGTCATAACTCGTAGCGACAAAATATATAATCGATCTTCGGGTGCACTCCCCTTCGAACTTCGTTAGACTAAAGCTTATGCAAGCAACTGACAAATTACACTTCAATCCCAGAGTGGGTTTTACCTGCTGGGACTGCGGAGTTAACTGAACCGATTTCACGCAGAATTAGGAAGTCGTTAGACTTCAATTTCCTTAAGTGGAACCCAACCTGGGATGCAACTGCTTCATAATTCGTAATAAGACGGCGGGTTATTTTCTGGCTATGACAGCTGAACAGACAATCCTTAACGAAAAAGCATCCCTGCATCAAAGACAGTGTCGAATCGGGGTACTCGGTCTTGCAGTCTTCGATTGTTCTTCTAAGTACAGATGATGCGCAACTGGGTGACGATGTTATACCCGGTGGATGGACCGTCATACGGAACACTTTAGGTGATTCGTGTAACTGAACCTTTGGTCACCATAGAAATTTAGGTAGTGTCTAACTTCCGGGGTCACCATTAGCTGGTGACATAGCTTCAATATCGGCAACCACTGTCACGGTGCCCATTCTGAACCTCAGCATAACGCCGGCTGAACTGTTCGCCAGTTCCGGCCATTTCAACAACTTTTGGTTTAAAGAGGTATCTTGGTAGTTACTAGCACAGTTGAAAACGACGCGAACTTTACCAGGTTTATTTGGGTACCTTACTGCGTGATGGGCGTAGACCAAGCGCTGTTCTTATTACCAAACGGTTCCGTGTCAACCTTTTCTGCAAACCCGTTTGTAGTGTACTCCTCGACTGCAGCAGTGTACATCTAATGTAATTCTGGATTGCCAGTGAGATTTCTGCACAACGACATCAACCTTCGGTAAGCCGCCGGATAGTTGTTAGGTAGATTTGGGCATCCATCTTTCCATGGTAAACTGAGTTGGTAACGGACGACAACGGACGACTCCAACTGCTCTGGGGGATACTATTCCTCGACTGGTATTCCGGATCTTAATGTTCACGACTCAGTAACGTTCAACTCGTGCAATCTCTCGATAAAGACTGACCTAGAATCTCTGTTATCAGCGCGGTTACAAATGTTTGTTGCACCTGATCCTTCAGCTGGCCCAAGCAGGATCCAAACCAATGACATTAGTATGGCAGATGGTCCCAGGACTTTTTATATCGACTGTCAAATACCCAGTGGGCTTCCGGGACATTCATACCAATTACGATATCTCGATCACAACTGTCGAAATACAGCAGGACCATTAAATGATCCCAATTATGCGATTGTTCTGGTTTCGATGTTCTGCTTCCTACACAAGACATCCTTTTGACGGACCAGGCCTGGTTTACGTACAGAGATTTACCACCATCCAGTGGTTGCAGTCCTAGTCGTACCACCTGCGAGCACACCAACGAGTTGCCGGTGACCGTTGCTAACTGCACCACTGACGGCCTAGTTGGTACATTAAGTTGCCATAGTGGCTGTTCGTCAACAAGCAGTGAATCGGATCCAGCGTCAAGTAAAGCATTGGTCACCAACGTCTTGTTCATTTCAAGCAATACAACTGGAATAATTACAAAGCCATTTGTCACTGAGACGCAGTCGTTTCGTTGACCACTGCGCTTGGTGAGGTCAATTGTTTCAACTTAGCTTCGTGTAACCAAGGGTGGTGTTTCAACTAGCACGTTTTGAGTCTGCCAGTGTATCGGTATACGCAATTTGCAGACGTGTGATTGGCTTTGAGGCACAATTCGCATAAACCTTACCCAGAAACGGCGAGCGAGCGCTCAGCACTCTCCATAGGTTGGAATAGAGGACATAGATTGAGCTAAGGATGTCCTATACACGTTACACACGATGGTGCGAGTCTCTGGGTCTCCGGTACTATTCCTCCAGTTGCCAAAGCGTTTATATGATACCACGATCTTGGAGTCATTCTGCAGTACAGGACCCTTCAGGTCTTCTAGCGCTTTCATTCAAGTATACGTTCTGGGTTACCGAGCTTTGTGCGACATCACAGACAAATTGGTTAGGGTTTCTGAAGGATGATTCTCCGTAAGTGCGCAGGATGCTGTAGCTTTCTTGGACCAATCGAGCTGCAAAAGCCGGATCAATGAAGACACCTGCATAGTCGCGTTCAGTTCGGCCTCGTGCTTCAAACGTTGCAGCGAAGTCAAGGAAGTTTTCATTTCCGCAGCGCTTCAGAATTGTTCGACTTGAGTGATGGTCCCTGACTAAGCTGTCGATGTAAGCCCTGGCTATAAGATGCGGGAGGCCGAATCTAGGTTTTGACGTCTCCATGGCAGCATGAAAACCTTCTTCTAGTTCAAATACGACGCAACTCTTGCTTGTCTTCCGAGCCTGGCCTTCACAAAAATCAATCAGGTAAGAGAGTCTGATCCCTGGATTATAGGTAAAATCCATGACATTTGCTTGAAAACTGCGCAAAAATAGCCAGTAATACACCAGCGTTAAAGCCGCCAAGCCCTCTCTTTGGCAATCCAATGAGAGCTTTCAATATACTAGAGGCCTTTTCAAGAAAAGTGCCTGGCTGGACCCAGTCCCGGGAAAATCACATCGTTGGCAAGCATGGATCTCCGCACAATACAGCGAGTTGCACATCGTTCATTCCAAAGTACTCCCCACCAAAGCCGGCGGGCGTCGAAAACTGGTGCCTCCCGTAGGACATTTTTGGATTGATCATTTAACGGCTCCTGAAGATACATTTACCGCATCCTTAAAAGTAATATCTTTCAACCGACTTTCCAGTTCTGTACATCTAAGCAATGCCGCAGAGAATTGATCAGCTTACACTTACATGTATTAGCGCCTGTATCTTGCGAATGCGGTGACAACGAACGCATTCCAGATTCATCCATTGGAGAGCGAGTCGGAACTATTCACTTTGTGATACTACATAAATGAGTTTAAACGCGAACTAACGACATCTATCTAGATGCACGATCTGGGCTGTGAGGTTGATGAGCGGTTTGCAGAATAAATTATATTGAGGCAACCGTGGTTCTACATAAATGATAATGAAGTAAATAGACATGTATAACTTACCAATAGGTGAACTGACCCGTAATAAGTTACAGATATAATTAGGTACAGATATAATTCCACGTGATCATTTCGGGCAGTCCGCGCTCATTCGAGGAGGTTATAAATGGGGCATTAAAACAAAGTGTTCGGATGTCTGAGCTCTGCACATCGTCTTCAGTAAAAAAGTGATAGGTCATATAGTAAAGATTAAGAGGAAAATGTAAAATAGGCCATACAGTTAATTCCGCTTCTAAGTGTTACCAATGGCAATCAGTCCAATCAAAAGTGGATTAACATGGGAATAAAAATGTACTACTCATAAAAAGGTAGTAGCAGTTACACAAACGTATCAGGTAGGACGGTATCGGTTACGTCGGTGAACTAGCCTAGATGTGACGAATGTCTACCTATATCATTCAACTCCCCCTACTACTCCTTTGGAGTTAGGAATTCACACACAATAGTAAAAATTAAGATAACATTGTTATTAAACACTGATGTAGATTTCGCAATGTATACATGCTTTCGGTAGTCAGAATACCGGATTTAGTCTGGGTTGTGTTACCCACACTGCGTAGTTTGAAACCCACCTAGACACCATTACTGACGGTGCAAACCACAGACACCCAGCCAGTATCACCTCTCACTTTTGCGTGACAACACGTGCAATTGTGCACCATTTGTACCTTGCATGATTTGTTACAGTTGCATTATGCACCCATGAGCGAATAACATGAATTAATATAGATTGGTCTGTCGTATTCGCATGCAACGCACTGTGCTTGTATCGTGAGCAATAGACGAGACGCTACGTGTCGCTGTGACCATAATACTTCAGTATTTAAACTCTGTTCCAACAGACAAGAGAATTGTCTCGGTTTTGTGCTAAGAGCACTGTCTATCTTTCTAAATGCCGTCTAAAAACGAAGGCACTAACGATGTGAAAGGATGGTATCACAAAACTTGCACTGCACCGGGTAGGCTGGATGGCAAATTAGCCGTGGTCACCGGGGCCAGTACGGGAATCGGGGAGGTGACAGCCGCCGAGTTGGCACGACGGGGTTGCAAGGTGATTATGGCGTGTCGTGACCTGAAGCGGGCGCAAGCCGCGGTTGATCGGATCTTGGATAAATATGGGCCATCTAAACCAGATAGTGTCAAGCTGAATGTTGCGGATTCGTCAGTTATTCAATACCTGTCAGTGGTGCAACCAGACCAGGTGAGTTTTGACCAGTTGGTTTTGCTCTTCAGGTGGGTTTTATAGAGTTGCTTCTGAATAAGTCACTGCGGTGATCACGGATAATATGTTGTCAGACTATCATGAGTGTGATACAAGATTCTACTGCGGTATTGGAGGTTTGAAATACATTAGTTGATCCCTGTTGCACAAATTCCAAATAAATATTTTAGTTCAGCTTGGGCAAATACGTCGATGATCGTTACATACCCTCCACATACACAAACCTGTTCAACCTCTGCGATTGTATGAAGATTCTTTCTGACAGTTTCATATGTGTAGTGCAAAATGTCTAGTCTAATCATAAGAGGACTTACTTTGACTACTGTTAAGACAGCGGTACTAAAACTTTACTGATACGACTCACTGATTGTAACAATGCTGTCATAGCAAAACAGTCAGACGTAGTGTCATTTTTAAGCAAAGCAACCCTGCTATACCTGAAGTAATTCTGGCCGAAATGGGCACTTTTTTCGACTACCCGTTGACGTAATTTGTCTACATCACCGTGAAAGCTAGATTGTACTAATTACTGAAATTTCACTCTCCTTGCTTCATGCTTTCAAAAATAAGATTTGAAGCTTCTAACTAACATTAGTGACCATTTTCAGTTGCGACTGGTCTTTACCGCAACGTAAGATAAATATTTTTAGCCAACCCGTACGGATAAGCGACAAAGTAGGGATTTTGCTTTCCGGAATCATGTTTATAAAACAAGATAGTTAGTTGTTTTCTGACTGATTGCGTTCTGAAACTAAAGGCGCACTCGACAAAATTGACTAGCACTCATATTTTCTATGAATTACATTAGGGATTGAGACTTAGGTACGCGGAAGTTAGCTTCTAGTATCGTTTCGGTTGCCGTGTGGAAATATTTTGATGACGTATCTAGTCTGTGTATTATGTTAGTGTAACGGAAACAAAACAAATTCTTACTTTGTAATGGGATCTTTGTTTTACTTCACACAGCTTCCTTTAGTATTTCATAGATGGAAAGAGAGAAATATTATTTTGCCTGACTAAAATGGCCGGTTGAGATGGTTAATCACAAAACGGTCAGGCCAGGTACAAAAGGTCATCCAAGCATACAAATCCACGCAGTACCAATCATATTCGTTCTACTGCAGTATTACTTAACTGAGTTACGTTTGTTCATTCTGATAGCATAAGCTGGAAACAAGCATTGAAAAACTGGAATGTACTCAGTGTATACGATGTTGACATTGAGGCTAACGAAAGTGGAAGCACATGTTCGTCTGTTTAAACTGAATTGTGTTTGACGGTTTGTGACATCGTTGAATGATATTTCTCCCAATCTTATAAGAAATAGTAGTTTCGGAAATTTTATACTCTGTAGCTTGATTATTCTGGGTCTGGCACAAAAGACGAACGAAAAACAGAACCAAGACTTACATTGAAACCTGATCTACCTTTTTTAGTTAACAAAACTCATCATTTAGTAGCTTAAAAGCTATAAGTGTGGGATATTATACTGGGGGATTAAAATGTCCATTTGAGCTGGTTCATCGTAAAAATTGTTTAGTTAGGTGTAAGATGCTATCCCAATTTTTAAGGTGATCAAATACTGGTTTACTTGTTCCTGCCGTGGTATTACCCAAGCCATTTAAGTTTGTTCATTCTAAAGTAACCTAAATTTGCAATGCAGGATTGATAAACAGGAATATATTCAGCATGAAATGTGTTGACGCTTAGACCACCAAAAGAAGAAGCACATGCTTGTCTCATTAAACCAAAGTGGGATAGGTGGTTTGCGTCATTGTTAGGTGGGATCTCTTCCATACCTATAGGGAAGGGTAGGTTTAGAATCATTTATACTCTGTGACTTCCTTAGTCTGGAGGAGGCACAAACAACCAACCTTAGGATTTCTGCCACAGTATAAATCCAGAACAACCCGACGGTGAGCGTCGGCTATCTACACAAATTACTGTAGCAGATATAAGAACTAACAGGATGGTTTACAGGGAAATTTTCCAGATAAAACGCAGTTGCCAATCTCAAAATCGTCAGTATAAAATGAAGAAACTAGTCATAAACAGCGGCCACTGCCAACATAGATCTGAACGCTCAAGCTACTATGAACATGGTGTCTGCTTTACAGTAGCGTGTGTTACCAAATGACGTACCAGTTGCCCTGTGCAGTGGAACGCTTTTAGTTGGATCAGAGTTTTTCTATTACCAGTTAGCTGCAATCTTGCTCAAGATGTCGCTTGTGGTGTATGAGTGAACTTGCACTGAAATCCCCTCTTTTAGTGTTCACCTCACTAGACATATATACCCCGTAGCTAGTCTCACAACGTCACGAAGTAGGACTGGCTTTATGCTAGCGTCGCAATCCATCTTTATTTATAGTAATATATAGCTGTCATCAAGAATAAATTAAATTTTCCTTACTGACAGGACGACAAATGTATGTGGGTTCTATTGGTGGCAATCAATTAAACGGAAAAGTTTAAATAATTACTTTCTACCTAACATGGGTGGAAACACATTTTGTCACTTGGATTGGCGCTACTGCAGTAGGTACGGACACCCGGAAAGTAAAGACGAATTGTATACGTGTATCCGGTGGAGCCTACGCCAGCTGTTGGAACCTAGTTTTGTAGTTACAAGACAAAGAGCCAATGTAAGTGTACTTTGTAGGTAGAATCCATGTGGACAGAAATTACCTAACGCATACGACCGACAACAGTTCACTTTTGATATCGTCATCATTAACCAATAACAATAGGTGTGTTGTTCGATTTGACGCAGATTCAACTTAGGGGAGAAACTATACATGTCATTCTAAGTGTACGACCTTCGATCCGTCATCAAGGTCAAACGCAATTCGAATTACTAACTTCGCACTAAGAGCCAATTATGAACGAAACACTAACCAGGGAGAATGGTCACAACACCGAATTCAGGAGGTCAGTTAGGTTACGAAATTATGAAAATTCATATCTTCCAAAAATGGATGCAATAACAGTGTAATAGAGAACATGACACAATTGAGTAATACTAAATCAACGTGATGATAAAGGACCGGTAGGCTAGACAAAATAGATCAATTTATTTAGGGAAATTACCAAGTCAATATGCAACATAAAACGTGGATATCTTATCGTAAATATCGCTCCAGCTTCCGCTGGCTGGGTACATAAAGCTTTCTATTCGAAATCCACTGCGTGCTAGCATGAAGAGTGACCACGAATTCTGGTGGTCTCATCATTTCGCGGAGAAGAAAACAGCCGCTGCCGTTGGTAAGCATTGTAAGTTATCCCGTCTGATTTGGGAAACATGCAGCAAGAGACCTGGTGTTAGCGAGATCATACGCGACAGTGGAGCATTGGACCCAACACTTTGCCAGGCGATTTAATCAAATTGGACTAACAATTTATTTTTTATACAATGAGCACCCTTCTCTCTGGGCCATTTCCTTCGATCAGCCCTCACGCGTTCATGTCAAACGTCAGATCAGGCTATTTAAATCGCACAATACCGCAGGGGCAGATAGAATTCCCAGCCCTTTTCAAATTCGGGGGACCTGCTCTAGCAGATGAGTTACACATGTTGCTAGTCAAACTTTGGGAGCAGGAGATTATCCCGACAGAATCCTTAGTTCAATTTACAAGGGTGGCTCCGGTGCGGAATGCAGCAGTCATGCATGGAGCAGTCTGATCACAATGGACTTTAAATTGCTTGCGCCTGTCGTTCACCATAGACTGAGTGGCACTCATGAAAGCCAGGTCCGTGAAGAGGAAGCTGGGTTTAGTCGAAATCGGGGCTGCATCGACCACACGCTCACTTTGCGTCAATTATTGGAACACCGCCGTTTATTAGTGACCCAACGTTGTCGTGTTTGTTGACATCAATGGAGTTTTTGATTCAGTCGATCTATGTGCCCTTGGGGACCGACTGCTGAGGAAAGGTGTGCCTGATAAATGCGTAAACTATATCAGTGCGCTGTGCGCTCACACTTCGGGCAGAGTGAGGGTTCATGGTAAACTGTTGCCCCCCTCAATATTACCAGCGGTGTGAGACAAGGTTGCCGCTGTCACCTTTCCTCTTTAACTTCACAACTGTTGCAGTCAGAGAAGCTTCATTCGCTGAACACGACCTGGAAGATGTGGAGCTACTTGCTGGTGAAAGGCTACATGACTTGTAGTATGCGGATGATATTACGCTAATCTACGACAATTCTTACATGTACCAAGCAGCACTAGACCGACTAACATTGGCTGCTATAGTTTTGGGCTATGCGTTGCTCCACTGAAATGCAAGGTCCTTCTTCAAGATTCGTAGAGACCCACCCCTGCGCCGACACTTGGTGATGATTAGTTTGAAGTCCTTCAGGAATTTGCGTACCTGGTCAGCTATATTAGCGTCTGTGGAATCGAAGATGAGGCTACGAACCTTGTAACAAAACCTCGAAGTGCTTTTGTCAGTCTCCGCTACCTGGCCTCAGACGCGAAGTCACACTCGCACTGAAGGGTAGAGTTTATAATACAGCTGTCCGTTTAACCCTATACACGGTCGTGAAACCTAGCCCATCAGATCGACAGACATAAAGAGGCTCGTCACGTTCGACCATCACTGCTTTCGCAGTTTAGCTCGTGTCTGGTGTGAGCGCCGCGTGAGGAATGAGCATGTTCGGCGTCAAGTATTTGGTGCAGTAAGAGAGGGTGAACAGCTCAGCACCATTAGATCACGCACCAGGCTACAATGGCTTGGTCACCTGTTGCTCACACCAGCATATCGACTCCCGCAACGAGTATTGTTTGCGCGCCGGGGTGCGGTTGGAATAGGAGGAGGGGAGGCCAAGCGATGACTTGGTGGAGAGAAACGAAAGCCTTCACTTCAAAGCTGGCTTCGGTTGATTCATCCCGAATGCTTGGCTGGGGTCCCAAGGACGACGAGCACGTTTGGTTGGACACACTTGCTGACATGACGAAGTGCCGGCCCAATGGTGTTTGTGTTG